CCCAGTAACTAATACAGGCTTCATATTTGCTGTAAGGTTATAATAGGTGGGAGTCATAATGCTGCTCCATCACTAAGTTACCGAGGCATTCCTCTGCAGTGCGGAGAATTCGACCACTTAAGTTCCATTTATTTTCTACTTCCGACCTTGAGATATTAGTTTTATTAAATCAAACTCAATTCCTCGGGTCTTCAAAACCAACATTTCCCACCGCCACGTCTCAAAAGAATCTCCGGGGAGAGGGACCCTGACTTTGGCACAAATAAGCAGATGTTCGCACACCTCCTATTCATCAAAGCCACCGTGAATCCGTTTATTTTCTATTGGATTTCGCCGCCTCTCCTGCCAGTAGCTCCCACATCACATCTGAGTGAGCACATCTCACATCCACGGCTCAGCCGGCCGCTCCACATCCAAGAGGAGAATTTAAACATCGTTCAGTCATTTCCTGGAGGAGATCGCATATTTACATAACGTGCGGCTAAATAAGCAGCGGCGAGCCTGACAGGGAGGTGAGATTGATGGAGAATGTTGCACGACACCTACAACTGTACCGTACATTGCAGCACAGCTCATTTTATAACCAGTGTTTCCCAGGTTCCCAGTTACTGACATCATCAGAACCCAGTGGAGTGGGCTTTTTCTATCTACATAAAAAGCACGTTCTGGTAGTTTCACACTTTCCTTCAACTTTTACAACCTTTTTGTCAAGTCTGCATTAAACCTGTCCAGATTTGACACCTTTTTTTTTCATTTTTTTTTTTAAAAAGGGTAATGTGTAAGTGTGAATGTATTTGTTAATGTGAGAAGGGATTTTTATGACTTGTGTGTTCGCCAAAAATCCACACTGCTCCATGTTATCTAACAGTAAATAAAAAATGCTGTCATAAAAAAAAATTTTTTGTTTTTTTTTAGACTTTACCACAATCGCTAAAATGGGAACCAACCAAAAAACTATGATCAGTGTTGCACAATAACACTGGAGTTAAGAGGAAAAAATGATTTGGACTCAACAGTCAGACTTGAAATCCATAATTTTCTTCTGTGACTCGGTTGTAGAATTTTCTCCTTGAGGAATTTTTTTTTTCTTGATAAATAAGGCTTTAAAAACTAGAAACAAAACAATGATTTGACTTTAACTTCTAACTACTTCTAACTTCTAACTTCTAACTTTAACTTTGTCTCCTTGCTCCCTGAGACTTCCTGTGACAACCAGAGTCCATCCTGCGAAAGTTTCTTGCCCCCGTCACGGGCCCTGCCCCCCATTTTGGGAACCACTGCTCTAAAGTAAGAGCGTTACCATTTTATTTAGAGAAATAAATGCGTTTTTTCAAATTACTTGTTAAATGCAATATATATATACATATAAATATGTACATATATTACCATGAATTTCGATGTTCGAATTTCAGTTGTCTAACGCTTTTGTGTCTGTGGCCAGGATGCGCGCTCGCGTGGGCGCGCCTCTGATACCCTCTCTCTCTCTCTCTCTCTCTGTACCTCTCCCTCTCGGTCGTTAATGACGTTTCAGGTACATCGGGTGTGAGCGTCGCTGTGCTGTGAATGGACAGTAGTGGTGGGGAATGTAACATCCTCCGCTCTCCCGCTGCTCCGGCTCCGCCGTCTCTCGCACCGTCTCTGCGTCTTCGTGCCCGGTGAGTTCAGTTTCCGTTGCTCCACCAACATTTAGTTGCACACGTTACACACAGTTTCCGAAACCGTGCAAGTTGTTAGTTGTCAGGGGGTGGAAATGATCTGTTGACTCTTCCAGCGTGGAGAGAAAACACCGCGGTCGTTAATGACGTTTCAGGTCTTTTTTTTTTTTTTTTTTTTTTAATGCAAACTGATTAGAAATGGACTTCAGTCCTGACACCTGATTAGTTCTCACCCTGTTCAATAGATGGCAGTCACTGTCCAAGGGGAGGATTGATGGGGGGTGGGGGGTGGGGGGGTTAATTATGTAAGGGGGGTGGGTGTCATGTAAGGGGTGTGGGTGTCAGGGTGGATTGTTCCCGTGCTGTGAGTGATTATTGACTGCACTGTTCTCTGGATCAACCAGAGGGAATACAGTTGAGAGACAGATGGTCTGTCTGGGGAAACCCAATATTTTTTTTTTCCACTTCATCTTCCTCAGCAAAAAAAAAAAAAAGAAGCTAGACATGCTTCTTAAAAGTAAGCCACATAATCCATGTGGAACTGTTGGAATTACAGCGGTGATGACTTTTCCTGCGGTGACAGGATGTGAGACCGTGAGGTCTTTTAAGGAAGCTCTGACGGACACACACACACACACACACACAAGCTAGAGTGTGTGTGTGTTTGGTACAAATTGTGTGAGAAGACCAGGGCATGTGAAGGAGGTGTGTGTGTGTGTGTGTGTGTGCACCAGCGTTACTCCTGCAGTCAAGAGTGGTCTGGTGTGATAAAAGACAGTGAGGAGATCACAGGCTTGGCTGAACTGCAGGCTTTTGACGTGTGTGTCCATGACTGAGCATTTTCACACAATCAACCGTGGGCAAATGTCTTTTTTTTTTCTGTATCGTCATACAACAATGTCAGGATTTGTTGTTTTTTTTTTTTCTGTATCGTCACACAACAATGTCAGGATTTGTTGTTGTTTTTTTCTTCTTCTTCTTTAAAGCAGTCATTTAAAATTCCTGCTTTTGCACACGGAGGACATGGTGATGGTTACACTGAGTTTTTGAGGCTCAAGCAAGACTGTGGTTCAAGTACAGAGACATCGCTGGTTTAGTTCAGAGACATTTCTGAAAATGGCTGAAAACGTGGTTCAAGTACAGAGACATTTCTGAAAATGGCTGAAAACTGTTTGCTTTTTTATATGCAAGTTTGTTTTTTTTTGTTTTTTTTATCCTCCTAACATCACGCTCGTTCAATTATTTCCTCACTTTGGCTTCGGTCAAAAGGTGTTAATTTAACGTCCAATAAAGCCGACGTTTCCGCGGCAGTGGGATGGATAATAGTGGAAATAATTCCATTTAATTGCGTTAAATGTTAATTGAGGTCTCTCGTCGCTCTCTCTCTCTCTTTGGCCCAGGTGATACTTTAACTTGTGGCACTTAGTGGCAGCAAAGGGATGTTTGATGGAAAATAATGGACAATGTTGATGAGTCAAAGGAAGGACACCTGCTGGTTGTTAACGATATGAGGCCAAGGAGCAGAGGCCGCGAGCCGCGGTGGCTCATTCTGTGCTGTTAGCCAAGTGGGCTTTTATATTAAAGCAGTTCAATCCTCTTAAAAAGCAGGTTTGTTTGAGAGACGTCGACCTTTAGCTGAGCTAGCCGTTAGCTTAGCTTCAAAGTTTTACAGTAACCCTCTACCTGTTCTACAGGCCACCGTTGACAAGATAATAATTAAATCTGTTGGTTTAGTAATTAACTTTATGTTCCAGCGATGCCTGTATCATGCCTGACACTTGATACTGTTTCTTACTGGATTCAAACCCATGACCTTTTTGGGTGGAAGGTGAACTCCCCACTTGTTGTTCAACACCTAACTCCAGCTCTGTGTTCAACTTAGGTCTTAATTTGTCTGCAGTAAAGGCAAGAATTTGGAATCCAAAAAAAAAAAAAAAAAAAACTTGGCACGCCGTCCGACCAAATGTTGGCATATTTGGCACCAGAGTTTTTACTCGTGTGAATGCTGTTCCCATTGTTTCTAGAACTTTCCAGTTTGTTAAATGTCAGGTTTGGCGACTTCCCTTCAGATCACATCATCAGCAGGTTGGAAATGCTGTCACACACTCTCCTCCGGCATTTTATGTTGACATACATACAGTACACGTTTCAGGCTGCAGGGGATCAGCCAGGTTTGGGTTCATATTTGAGCATTTTAAGAACTCTACCAATTCCAAAAAAAAAGAAAAAAAAGAAAAGAGAAGTCACATGAAATACTAATGAGAAAATCCAATTACTGCTGCAGACGGAAGGGTATGAATGACTATAAACCAGCACACAAGGGATGAAGTTTTGTAGAAGAGACAGAGACAGAGAGAGAGACAGAGAGAGAGGGTGAGGTAGAGAGAGAGAGAGTCTGACCTATCACTTCAGTGATTCTTTTTTCCATCATCTATTATCTTTATATTCTCAGACACAGGTTCAAATGTTGGTCATAAACCTGACTACCGTCCGTACTCATCTGATAATCATCCTCGCTAATTAACTAATCAGTCGGAGTGTTTGGCCATGTCATGCATCACAACACCTTCTTGTGTCTTTGTTCCTCTGCAGCAGTGAGGAAACGAAACAATAAGTGACATTGACGTTTTTCACTTTAGGTTTTTTTGGGAAACAGTGATCAATATTTTCCAACACTTTCACTCATGGGAAATAAATGAGAAAAAAAAAAAACAAACATCCCAATGATGAAAAAAGAACTTCAGCTGTGGCTTTGGTAATAATCTTTCCCTTTTATGCATAAAAAGCAAAGGGAATGTTCTTTACAAGCGAAGCAGCGTTCACTTAAAGCCAATAAAGGAGACAAAATAACACAGGGAGCAGTGAGTAGTAAAAACCGATGCAAACATCACGTACCTGCTGTAGCTTTTCATTAACTTTCCCAGAGAGCGTTGTGACAGTGAGGAGAAGATAAAAGCATCACATTTTTCTGCATTAGTTCCATAAATTGTGCATTTTTACCTTAAAGGGAACATATTATGCTACTTTTATGCAAATGAACCTGGTTCCTGGATGAAAAATAAAAATACTAGACTCACAAAAAAAGATTTTAGGGCAGCTGGATTTTTCACACGTCTGATTAACGGCCCTGGTTTGAGCGTCCCGTTTCTGTGCCTTTATCTTTAAATGGTAATGAGTCACAGTGTGCTCCGCCCGATTCTTCCACAAGGTGGAGCCAAGTCTTAATTTTCAGTTTTAATTGAGTCTTTTGATGTAATTGTAACTTAATTTTAGTTTAAATGTTGGATGATTAATACCAAAACTAAGTTCTAATCTCTGTTTATAAATATTTAATTAAAATATATTTTCTGTGAATTATTTTAACTCTAGTATTCCTGTTATTTACATGTATTATGTTGCTATTGTATTATCTTACCACAGGTTCTACAGTATTATTCATTCACATGTACACAGTGAAGTATTCCCATGTTAACAACAGACATTAACATCTAGCATTAGCATTCATTACAGACCAGGTTAATTTGGAACGTCTCAATTCCAGATCTTCTTATTGGTCAAACCTTACACTTTAGTAATAGACAAGAGACACTCAGTAGAAGTACACATACCCTGTTGTGTCTGTACTGTGTCTGTATATTTAATACGTGCTGATGGAGAAGGTGTTCAAACAGTTGGGAATTATTTCAGTAAAACCCAGAGATTCCAGCGTGTTTTTTCCTTTAAACATCGACAGAGAAAATCTAGCAGAGTGGTAGAAACGCTTTGACATTCAACTACAGTCTCACCTGTGTTGATACTGGACCTGGGGCAGTGTGCCGAGGTAATTTTGTTTGGTTTATTGCCTTTGGGATGTCAGTAGTAAATTGAGAGTCCATTGATTCCAAAAGGAGAAACGGGAACGTCGCTGGCTCGGCTCGATCGGGCAGGTGCTTTTTAGCCAAATGGGTAAAAGTATCGCAAATAGAATTACACAAATCTTTGAGTCTGAAGATTCCGTGAGTGATGTTCTTTCTCGTCGTGGTTTATTGATCTGAATGGTAATTGGTTTGAATGTCAGGAGGGTTAAAATGCCTATAGCTCATCTGGTTGGTACATGGAGACGCGGTGTTCGCTTAGAACCCCACGTTGGGATTTTTCTGACGTCGACGTCGAAAGGAGACGTCTGTCGAGCGCGTGAGCCGGACGTTCCATCAAGTCATGTCACTGCTACCTGCAGGAAGAGTCCGTCTTTGATTGGATGAGTTCCCTGTGCTTCCTCTACTTGCTGTTATCTTAAATCTGAGTCTGACCTTTTCTGTGGCAGAGCCGTCTTTAAATCACAGCTCGGATAAATGGAGTGGGTTCGAAATTCCTCTCTCTCTCTCTTTCTCCCTGTTTGAATCTTTTTTTTTTATTTTTATAAAAATGCAGCTCATTTGAGGACGACATTTAAAGTGACCTTGACCTTGACGTCTTTCTAGTTTGCCCCCGGCTTCTAATAAAACACCAGCAGTTATCAGATGTACAGCGTCTCACTGACCGGAGGTCACAGTCGATGTGACGGTGTGTGAGGGGAGGGGGACATCTCCAACCCCCTTGTTTCACACTCGTGTGTGTGTGTGTGTGTGTGTACCTGTTGGTTAAAAAACTGCATTTGAATGCTTCCCCACTATGTAAAAAAAAAAAAAAAAGCAAAACGCCCTCAGGAACCAGTGTTTAATTAATTGTCACCAATCCATGACAGATGAGAATTCAAATGAGCGGTTTATGTGCCGACGGTAGCTGCCAACGGTGTCTAATGTTAGACAGCACCCGTTGTTTTCTTCATGGACGTCTTCAGTCCGAATACGAGCTTTTGTTCTTCTGTGCT